CCCCTGCCTTCCACAGGTCCCCCAACCTCCCATGCCCTCCATTGGCTCCAGCCCCCTGTGGCCCACTGCTCTCCATTCCCCTCTGCCTTCCCATGGCTGCCCTGTGTTCATCTGCTCCTATAGATGCCCCAGCCCCACCATCCTCTCCTACCCCTCATAGGTAGCCCAGTCCCCAGTACTCTCCTGCCCTCCATGGTTGCTAGTCCACCCTGTGCCTCCTTGCCCTCTGCAGGCTCCCCAAAAGGCCAGTCCCCTATTAGTGCCCCCTAGCCCCCAGCGCCCCCTAGCCTCTATGGGTGCTCCAACCCTCTGTGCTCACAATGGGTGCCTCAGCCTCCCATGCCCTCCTTTGGCAACCCCATCCCCACCATGTCCCCTGCCCCCCGTGGGTGACCCCGCCTGGGTGACTCACGCTGAGCCCTTTTTCTGGAAGCCCTGGGGGGTGGCACAGGTGGCCCTGGCCGCCAGCACCAGGAAGAAGATGCCGACCTGGGGGTGCAAGGAGTGAGCAGGGTGATATGGGATCCCCTGCCCTCCCCAGCCCCCAGCCCTATACGCACAGCGAGGGCAGCAGCACAGGGTCCAGCCAGGCTCCACACCAGGCTGTCATGCAGGGCCAGCCAGCAGAAGTCGGGGCTCCCATAGCCCTCGGGGTCCAGCCCCACCGCCAGCCCTACAAAGGAGAGATCAGGGCGGGGCCAATTCAGTGGGCGGGGCTGTAAGAAGAGACAGTGGGCTAAGGTGGGAGGGGTGGGGCTAAACAGAGTGAAGCTATGGCAGGACGGGGAATGGAATGGCTCGTGGATGGCACAGAGCTGACAAGAAGGTGCTGCTCTTGGGGGTGTGGCTACGCTGGGTAGAGACAGCGCTATGTAAATGAGGTATGTCTAAGCTCTTGGGTATGTGGCAGTGTTGATGAGAGCAGGGATATGGCACTGGGGGCTTGTCTAAGAGGTTATTACAGGTCTATTCTCTTAGAGTGGAGTTATGCTGATGAGGGCAGGGCTAAGATTCTGGGAGAATATCTGACTGTGATTGATGGAGAAAGGCTACAGCCCTGGGGGCATATTGAAGAGATTGGGAAAGATGCTCTTGAGGGAGAGATAAGATGGTTAAGGGTGGGGCTAAACTCCTGTGGTGGGGATAAAATATTGGGCCGGGGTTATACTCTTTGGAAGGGGGCTATGACCCCGGGGGTGTGACTGAAAATTTGGGGGCAGAGCTATGATGGATGAGGGTAGGATTGTGGACCCAGGGGCCTGTCTAAAATCTCGGGGACTGGGTCTCATAGATGAGGGCAGAGCTGTGACTCTGGGTGTGTGTCTAAAACCATCTGGGTGGGGCTACGGTGGTTAAGGGTGGAAGTAAACTCTTGGGGTGGGGCTGTTTTAGATTGGGCGTGACTATCCCATTGGAGGCGGGGTTATATCCAGGGGTGTGGCTATGCTGGCAAAGATACATCTGAGGGTGGGGTTACACATGGAAATAGGATCCCACCATGCATGAAATTGGTTAGGGGAAAGATATTCAGGTGGCAGTACCATAGCCTAGAAGGGGGTGTGTAGCCACCAGGAGGTGTTGACCCAGGTGGAGGTAGGCAGCTAGCGGTCCAGGGTGCGGGGTTAGAATGACAGCAGGGTTTCACAGCAGGGCTCACCGGTAATGAAAGCAGGCAGTCCCCAGCCCAGTATGTGGTAGAAGCGCATGGGACCACGGTCGACATGACGGGGTTCACTGCGGCACCGGTACAGGTGCAGCGCCTCCAGCAGTGCCCAGCCTACCGCACTCAGGTACAGGAACTGCAGCAGGATGGCCACCACGGTGCACGCCAGCTGCACCCACCCTGTCACTGCCAGCCCACAGCCCCACCCATCCAACCATTTGCACAACCCCTCAAGCTCCACCCCCTTTGAGAGGTCATTCCCCTGTTGAGGTCACATTCCTCTAAAAGGTTCCAGTCCTTTTATAGGCCTCCCTCCTTGAGTGCCCCACCTCTTTGATGGGCCCCACCCCCTTGAGAGCCAACCCCTTTGACAACATCTACCCCTCAGCCCCACTGCTTTGGAAGCCCCACCCCTTTATACAGACTCCACCCCCTGACATCACCACCCCTTTAGCAGATTTCACCCATTATAGTCCTCATGTCTTTTAGATGCCACCCCTTAGGCCCAGCCCACCATGGCGGTGCCCACTCCTTAGCCCCACCCATTTCAGCCCCACCAACTCAAACACTTCAAAGGCAGCAGATCATCTGACCCAACCAGTCCTTCCCAGTGATCCCCATTTCTACCCTCCTTTCCCAGCCCCCTTTACCCACACACCGGGACATCGGTCTGGTTGATGCCAAGCAGGAAGACAAGCTGTGCAAGGAGCAGTGAAGCTGTGCCATGCCGGCGGATGCTGTGGCGGTTGGAACGCAGCCGACTCAAGGTCCCCAGGGCCAGGACCACCAGTGCCAGCCCCGCCAGCCCCACTCCCAGTGAGCCGTAGGTGAGTGCTGCCAGCGGCAGCACCTCCCCATTCTGTAGCACCAGGATCAGCATATGTCAGGCATGTGCTCAGTGTGCATGCCCCTCCAGACATCCCCATCAACACAGACGTGGTCCCCCCTTATAAAGCAATCAGTCCTTGGGCCTGGGAAGTCCTGCCCACTATGCATAGGCCAATAGGAAGCCTGCTCACATTATTCAGCCCTGCCCCTGGTAACCCCACCCTTTTTAACCCCCAGTCACAGCACTTCAACCATGGCACTCAAAACCCCACCCACATTGTGTTAGCTCCACCCTTTTAAATCTCTCCCATACCACTAAGACCCAGCCCTCAAAATTCCACCCCCATCCCTCAGCCTTGCCCCTTTCAACCCCACTTATGGTACTGGACCCTGCCCCCTAAAACCACACCCACAGCAGTGGCCACATCTCTTTACAGCCCAGCTAGTTTTCAACCCTGCCCCAGGAAATCCTGCCCACATTATGCCACCACAGGCCCTGAAAACATCACTCAGCCACACCTCTTGTAACCCCACCCACATCAGCTCTGCCCCTCGGAGACTGACAGGCCCAGCCTGCTCAGCTGCATCCACTGGAATCTCATTCATGATAACTGGACCCGCTCCTGAGGGAGCGTGCTAACAGATCTGACATAACCCCGCCGGTCCCACTTAGCTCTGCCCCAAGGGAGCTCCACCCACTGAATTTAGCCATACCCCTTGGATTTAGCCCCACCCCACTTAAACCCCACCCACTCCTCTCAGCCCCGCCTCCAAGAGCATGAGAACCTCCACCCTGACCCTGCCCCACCCATTCTGCCAAGCCCCTCCTATCCCTGTCCCTCCTCTTTTATCAAAAGCCCCACCCCTGTTCCTAAAGCCTCACCTCTGTGCCTGGCACCACCTGAGACCCTATGCCCTATTTCTGTACATGTGTCCATCCACCTCCATTACCATACCAGGGTAACTCCATGCCCCATGGTCACTGTGTCCCTCCATGTCCCCTGTGTCACATCTGCCCCCATGTCCTCATGCACCCCTCCGTGTCCCTCTATGTCCCCACCTCTCGACGGGAGATGTCCATGAGGACAGCAAAGCTGGTCAGATGGTGGCACTGGCAGCTGACGTGGCTCTGGTTGCGGAAGGTGACTTCGCAGCCTCGTGCCGACCAGCCGCCCACACTGCCGGCCCTGCGCAGCACCACAAGGTGACACAAGCTGGGAAACCCACCAGGACACCCACCGGGGACAAACACATACACACACACACTGAGGACACCCACCAGGGACACCCACTAAGAACATCCACCCCTACCCAAGGACATGCACCCAACCCAGAACACCCACCAGGGACACATGCACTGGAGACACACACCCACCAGACACATTCACAGACAACACCCACCCACCCACTGGAACATCCATCCACCTAGCAGAGACAACTGCTGCCACTTGGGGACACTCACCCATCAGGGACACTCACCCAGGAACATATCTCCATTTGGGAACACCCACCCCATCCTATCCCTGACACCCACCAGAGTCAGAGCTGCCCCTTCATGTCCAGTTCCCATGTTACTCACCCATGACCCACAGGGACACTGAGGCATGCATTCTGCCCTGTCCCCATGTTCCTGCTCCCTCAGGATGTCCTCTGTCCCCTCCAAGGTGTCCCCATTCCCATGCCCCTTGTTGCCTCAAGGTGTCCTAATTTCTGTTACTATGTCCCCTGTCTCCATGGTAAGTCCCCATCCTCATGCTCCCTGTCCCTCCAGAGTGTCCCAATCTCCTTGGTCCTCCTTCCATGTCCCCTCTGAGGTGTCCCCATTTCCCTGGGATGTGCCCATTTCCATGGCCCCTCTCCCCCAGGGTGTTTCCTGTTCCCCTGGTGTGTGCCATATCCCCTCTTACCTCAGCATGTCTGTATCCCTCCATATTGTGCCTGACTTCCCAAGATGTCCCCATCCACCCAGGGCATTCCCGGGGATATCCCCTGTTCCCCTGGGTGTCCTTATCCCCAGCTCCCCTGTCTCCTTGGGGAGATCCCTTGTCCCTCAGGAGTGTTCCCATCTTCCCCAAGGTGTTCCCATCCCAAATCCCATGTCCCTATCCTCCGGGATGTCCCTGTGCCCCCACAGTGTCCTTGTCACCCCTGGGGTGTCCCCTGCCCCGCCCTCACCGCAGAGAGTGGTTCCAGAAGACACAGATGGGCTTGGAGCGTTCCTGGGTCTCCAACAGCCGGAACTGGAGGGTGACAGGCTTGGCCAGTGCCTGGGGGTTCCCCATGCCCCCCACACCATCCGTGTCCCCCGTGTGCACACTGATGCTCACCACTGGTGTGTTGATGACGGGGCGCTTGGGCACCCTGGGAGGCACTGGTGTCAGGGAGCCCATTCAAGGTGCCCCAAAACCCACCTGGGTGCCACAGAGTGCCCTGGCACCACACAGACACTGTGAGGGCACCCCTTTCTCACCTGCGCCACCTTTTTCGGGCACCCCATGGGCACCATTCTTGGGCATCCCCTGAGCCGCCTCCCCAGTGCTCTACCCCCCATCTTCAGGTACTCTCTGTGCCCCCCAAGCTTGGGCACCCCATGTGTCACCTTTCCCATCCCTCCCCTGGGATCCCTCTGGACATCCCTGTCCCCATTTCCCTATACCCCCCAGATGCTTGGCTTTGCCCTGGCACCCCATGTGCCCCCCACAGCCCCCCC